TAATTAGTACCAACTCAATACTGATATATATAGGATAAAAAATACCACCTTATTGTCATATATGTTGAGGTGTTGATTTGTGTTTATTTTTAGTTGAGGGGTTGATTTGCCACCATTCACTGAGTATAAGGGCTGATTTGCCACTATTCACTGAATACAAGGGTTGATTTGCCTTTTTTCTTTTTAAGATTTGAATTGTTTGTATAATTTCGGTGTACCCGCCCAGTAAACAAAAAAACAAACCGACCTATACATCAAAAGTTAATTAGAAAAATTAAAATTTGATCAAAATAAATTTTAATCTTATATCATTTTAGTTTAGTTTAAAAATCGATATGTACTAATTGTACTAGCTGGTACGAAACAAATTTCACTTCTTTGGTTCGTGCTATTTTGAATAAAGAGTGAAATACAGAAATATAAAGCATAAAAGGTGATGAAATTCCTTAGTTTATTATCTTAAAAGAGTAAATTGAAACCCCTAGTAAATGTTTGTTAAAATGCTTCCAAGATAAATAAATAAAAGAAAATAATAGTTTACCAAGAGGAGCAGAGAGTCTTCATATTTGGCCTACCAAATATTTGTCAAAATGTGAGAATAATATTTATTTAGGTAAATTTTAATTATAATTTTATAATAGTTTAATGTATTTAAATATTAAATTTTATAACATATATTTAAAATATATACACTTTAAATACATATATTTAAAATATATGCTTTAAATACAAATATATGTAACAAAAACAACCTATTGAGGTAGATGAATGTAATATTTTTTCTTCTGATGATTTTTATAAGTTAAAATTTTGAATTTGATGTATTAGTTCCGGTTGTAGTTGGCATGTCACTCGGTAATCAGTATTAATTGGTATCGTGGAAAATCACCTCTCTTGTAAGAGTAAGGCCGTGGCTTGACCTCCTCCATCTCACAATCTTCGATGGACCCTTTTTGTAGATTTTTTCTAACGAAAAGAGACCCTTAGTGTCAATGTTTTTGAACCCGGCCCGGTGGCTGGCCCGTTTTGACCACCGGGTCCGAGTCAACAGGTTGAACCGATTCACCCGATCGGTTCAACCGATCAACTAAAGTCAACTAAAAAACTTATTTTTTGGGCATTTTTAATTTTTTATTGAATTTTGCTTTTATACCTTACCTTCACGGTTTCACCCGAAAACGATACAAATCGTTTTGAGCAGAACAGACGAGGGAGATGAAGATGATCGGCGAAAGAGAAGAAGTGCAGCGATGGAGGAGAGGATCGGCGGACGCTCGGCGGAAAAGATGATCGGCGGATGATTGGCGGTGGAGAAGATCGGCGAACGATTGCGGAAGAGAGGATCGGTGGACCATCGGCGGACAAGAAGATCGACGGACGAGAAGATCGGTGGAAGAGACGATCGGCGGATGGTCGACGGATGATCAGCGGACGATCGGCAAACGATCGGCGGACGATCGACGAACGAGAAGATGATGAAAATTTCAGCCCGGCCGGTTGCAACGGGTCGCACGAGTTTAACGGGCGGGACGGGTCTGACGGGTTTCAACGGGTTTCAACGGGCCATTTGCTTAAACGGGTTGAAGTATTCAACCGGCCCGTTTTCAGGTCTGGGTCTGGTTCAACCAGTTCAACCGGCCGGGCCGGGCCGGGTCCAAAAAACATTTCTTAGTGTACGAAAATTTGTCCAAATAACTTCTGCGTCATTGCTTACATTTTCATTTTGTGTGTGATAATTTTCAGATGCGTCAAAACGAAAGTTAAATAAGATTCATATATGGTCCCAAATTAATCCCAATCCAAGCGCAATAACAATGAACCTTTTCTACGCCACATTTCTTTCAAAATGTTGTTTTGTCATTAATATCTTCAACTGTAATGTGGCCTCCACTCTCAATAATAGCTCTATATCTACCGTTTGAAAAGAAAATGCAGCCATAATTAGAGAGAGAAATTTCTTATCCCTGCCACCAAAATATGAGACCCACATAGGAGATTTTT